CACACTTCTCAGCAGATATTAGTATTCTTAATCCTGCTTTGCATATTTGAGACAATTATGTGGGATGTGGACTTCAAATGCATTTGTTTCCCCGACTCTCTTTTGTGTCTGTCTGTCTCTGTTTGTCTAAGTTTTAAATGACGTCATTCCTGCCGATTCTCTTCTCTCCTTTTGTAAGCCTGACTAGGTGGCCCAGTGGCTAAGACACTGAGCTTGTCGATCAGAAAGGTGGGCAGTTCAGCGGTTCTAATCCCTAGACTAGAGGTTATCTAGAATCCCTAGATGACCTCCAAGATCCCTTCCAACTCTGTGACTGTTACCTAATATAATAAACTCAGAGGAGTTTGTTGAACAATGGTATTATAATAATAAACTCACTTTATTTTCTGTTTTTTTAAAAAAAAAACTTTTTCAATAAAAAAAAAGGGGGGGGGTTTCCCTAGTTTTATTGTGGTTATTAACCAGCAGAAAGAAAAAAAAATATCTACGTTCTGGATACAGGCGGTCCTCAACGTACAACAGTTTGTTTAGGGACCGTTCAAAGTTATGGCGGCACCAAACAAATGGATTTACGACCGTTTTTCACACTTAACGACCGTCACCACATCCCCGCGGTCACGCGATAAAAATTCAGACGCTTGGCAACGGACTCCTCTTTATGAGCTGTGGTGGCGCAGTGGTTAGAATGCGGTACTGCAGGCTACTTCTGCTGACTGCCGGCTGCCTGCATTTCGGCAGTTCGATTCTGACCAGCTCAAGGTGGACTCAGTTTTCCATCCTGCTGAAGTTGGTAGGTAATAGGCTGACTCTGTAAACTGCTTAGAGAGGGCTGTAAAACATTGTGAAGCGGTATATAAGTCTAAGTGCTATTGCCCTTCCTTCCTTCCTTCCTTCCTTCCTTCCTTCCTTCCTTCCTTCCTTCCTTCCTTCCTTTCTTTCTTTCCCATTGTCCTTCCTGGTGGCACAGTGGTGAGAATGCAGTGTTGCAGAGTGACTCTGCCCACTGCCAGGAGTTCAATTCTGAAAGGCTCAAGGTTGACTCAGCCTTCCATTCTTCCGAGGTGGGTAAAATGAGAATCCAAATTGTTGGGACCAAATGCTGACTCTGTAAACTGCTTAGGGAGGGCTATGAAACACTGCAAAGCAGTATATAAGTCTAAAATGCTATTGCTATTGCTAATATATATAATAATTGCAGATCCCCTTCTGTTAAGCAAAGTCAACGGGGAAGACAAGATCCACTTAACAACCGCTAGTTGCTAATTTAACAACCGCCGCAATTCACCTTTCGCAAGAAAAGTCACAAAATGGGGCAAAATCACTTCACAAACGTCTCACTTAGCAACAGAAACGTTAGGCTCAGATGTCGTCGTAAGTCAAGGACCGCCTGTATTCAAAATCTATTTTCTCCTCTTCTTTTCTTTCTGCGGGTTAACGATTGCAACAAAGCTATTTGAAAATTTGAAATTCACCCAAGCAACAAGCTTTTTTTTTTTTTTTTAAATTTCTCTCTGGGAAAAAAAAAAACTGGCAGTTATTCCTTGAAATATGACAACGTAAGACCAATGATTAATATTTTAGCATGCACAGATTTATACATAGAAGGGCACACACAAGAGAAAACAGACGTTATTTCATGCATCACACCACAGAAAAAAATACAGGTTCCAAATGAATATTTTTTCTTTCTGCATTCATGCGTTGAAGATCAACGCTAAAAATTTCCAGATGGTTCTATCGAGAAAATAGCATATACACTGATCCCATTTTTTTTTTATTCTATAAAGGTGTATTCCTACTCCCTTTCCCATTAAAACCACATTAAAGCCAGAGCAATTAAAATCAATTTTAAAAAAAAAAATCTCTCGTGAAAGAAAAACCAATAAAAACATCAGGAAAAAGTCTAGCGGAGTTCCAAAACAAGCATCGAAAGAGAAATAAAATAGACATTGTGGGAACCTTTGCGGATGAAAACATTCGCAAGATATTTGATTGTAGAAAGGAGTTATGACAGCAACCGATTAAGTGGCAGGGGTTCCCCCCCCCCAATAAATTGATAGGCAAATGTATTAGTGAAAAAGTGGGAGTGGCAGAGATTGATTCATAAAAAAACCATCCTAAGAATAATACACTAGTGGCCAAAATTGTGGGAACCTTTTGGGAAAAGTGTATTTTTGAAGTTTGATGGCTAATAACCTCACTTTTTGTTTTTGGAGTTTCAAGATAATCCTATTCTGCTGCTGGAATGGCCTGGGAATAGCCCAGACCTTCACCCAATGGAAAATCTATGGAGCCAACTAAAAAAACTTGTTAGTCAGAAGCGATCCAGCACTAAAACCCAGTTAATAGAAGCCATCATTCAATCTTGGTTTCACATGATAACAGCTGCAGAACTAAAAGACTTGGTTCACTCCGTGGGAAGACGTTGTAAGGCCGTAATTCATGCTAAAGGTTACCCAACTAAGGATTAACTGACATGGTGACAATTTTTGTATATCTCGTTTTTTCTATGGTGATCGTTTTTGTAGATTTCCTTTTTTCTACGTGTTTCACTTTTCTTCTTTATACTGTAACTGCTGTTCTAATAGCAAATCCTTCATCAAAGTTATTGCATGACATTCTTGATTAAATTATCTTTCCGTTGATATATAATTTGATGGCACTACTCCAAAAAAAAAAAAAAAAGTGGTGTTATTAGCTAGTTTTAGAAAATACACTTTTCCCAAAAGGTTTCCACAATTTTGGCCACTACTGTAGGATGCCTCTTGGTAGTTAAGGTATCTATTCCAGAGCTTCATCACTGGAAGCTTTCAAGAAGAGATTGAATCCATCTGTCAGAAATGGGGTAGGGTCTCTTACCTGGACGTGGGGGTGGGTTGGACTCAGGGGTGGGTTCTAAATTTTTTTACTACCGGTTCTGTGGGAGTGGCTTATTTTGTGGGTGTGGCTTGGAGGTCACGTGACTAGGTAGGCGTGGCTAGCTGGTCAGAGTCATTTCTGGAAGGTCCTCGCACTTACGATCAGTCCTCGCACTTACGACCCAACTCATTTGTTTGCTTTTAACACTGATCAGCTGTAGGGCGGCCCTTTGAAGCCCCCCGGCAAGAGTTTAAACAGTTTTTTTCCCTCTAGTCATCAGCTGGGACTCAGGAGACAGCAATAGATTGGGGGTGGGACCAAATAAAAGGTAAGAATAACATGGGGGGGGGGGGGGGGGGGGGGGGGGGGGGGGGGGGGGGAGAACCGGTTCAGTGACGTCATATTGTCACTACTACCGGCTCGGCCGAACCGGACCGAACCGGGAGGAACCCACCACTGGTTGGACTAGATGATTTACAAGGACCCTTCCAGCTCTGTTAATCTGTTAATCCTCTGTCATGTTGTATTGAATGGCAATTTGGGAGGCAGGAATGTCAAATTGAGAGCCTTTGTAATTGTATTTAATTTTGCCAAATTAAGAAGCATATAATGATGTAAGTAAACGTGTATCTCAGGAAGAGTAATACTGCACCAGTTTGATATAATGTATTTTTCAAACTATAAGACGCACCTAAATTTAGAAGAGGAAAACAACAACAACAAAAAAGGTTTTTGGCCTCCGCACGCCCCATTTTTGGCTCTTTTTGGGGCCCTTTTTTGGCCCTTTTTCAGCCTTTTTTTGGCCCACTTTCAGGGCTTTTTTGGCACATTTTCTAGGCTTTTTTTGGCCCATTTTTTTTCGCTTTTCCCAACCCATTTTCGGGGCTTTTTTCAGCCTGTTTTTGGGGCTTTTTGGGCCCGTTTCTGAGGCTTTTTAAAAAACCCATTTTGAGGCTTTTGGGGCCCATTTTCAAGGGATTTTTTGGCCTGTTTTGGGGGCTTTTTGGGCCCATTTTTGAGGCTTTTTTAAAAACCCATTTTGAGGCTTTTGGGGCCCATTTTCAAGGGTTTTTTTGGCCTGTTTTGGGGGCTTTTGGGGCCCATTTTTGAGGCTTTTTTGGCCTGTTTTGGGGGCTTTTTTTGGCCCATTTTTCTGGCTTTGGGCCAAAAAAAGCCTCGAAAACAGCCTCAAAAATGGGCTGATAAAAGCTCCACAAAAGGGGCCTGAAAAAGGCCGAAAAAAGGCCCCAAAATGGGGCGTGTGGAGGCCAAAAAATGGCCGGCGGGTGGGCGGGGCTCCGGCAATATTTGGTCTATAAGACGCACAGATATTTTCACCCCCTTTTGGGAGACAAAAAAGTGTGTCTTATAGTCCAAAAAATACGGTAATAGTATATGTAATCCTGAAATTACAACGATGTTTTTAGTGACCGTTTGAAGTTACAACAGCATTGAAAGAAGTAACTTATGACCGTTTTTCACACCTTACGACCATTGTGGCATCCCCTATGGTCACATGATAAAAATTCGGACACATCAACTGGTTCATATTTTATGACGGTTGCAGTGTTCCGGGGTCGTGTGATCCCCTTTTGCGACCTTTTGATAAGCAGAGTCAACGGGGAAGCCAGATTCACTTAACAACCATGTTATTAACAATTTCAGTGATTCACTTAACAACTGTGGCCAGAAAAGGCGTAAAACGGGCCAAAACTCACTTAACAACGGTCTCAGTTATCAATAGAAATTTCGGTCGGACATTGACGACTACCTGTAGCGATGTTTACTATAGGGAGTAGGGTGGAAAGGAGTTGGGTCCAGATGTCAGTGGGGTTACAAATGGAATCTTTCTTCTACCACATCCATATAATTTTTTCCCCAGGGGATGAAAGAATGTTCTAGAAAGAACATTCTAGAACATTCTACGTCTTTCTGGAACGTTCCTTCAGGACAGAGACAAAGAGGGAACTCCACTACACAAACAAACATCTCCCCCCCTTTTTTTGCAGCGTTACTTCCATGTTACACCAAACACAACACAGGTAGTTTGAAAGGTAAGGGCCACTAAATCGACAACCACCAACACCACCACCACGACAACAATGATGATAATAATAATAATAAAAAAAGTGGAAACCCACCATATTCTGGGACCTGTCCGGTTCCACGTTTTAGTAACAACCGTACTCTTCGGCCACCGGATTTGATGAGTTCTATTGCTCTGGTGTGCGTCATGTCCCTCGTGGTGTCCCCGTTGATCTCGATAATTTGATCTCCCACCTGCCAGGTTGGAAAAATAAGAGGAACCAAGTTAGTCCTTGTAGACACAACGTCTCACATGGGACCATCACAACGATCAATTCAACACTGCAAGCTTTTAAGACGATGTTGGATAACCACTTGTCTGAAGTGATGTAGGATTTCCTGCCTAAGCAGGGGGTTGGACTAGAAGACCTCCAAGGTCCCTTCCAACTCTGTTACTCTATTCTGTTCTAATTTATACCCTTTTAAATTCAATAAGTTTTGACTTATTGGATTTTCGACCTTTTTAACGAAGGAAAGATCTACAGTCAAATTGCAGGAATGTCTTCTTCTGGTCTTTCTTATTATGATTACAGCAGGAGTGAAATCCAGCAGATTCTGACAGGTTCTGGCGAACCGGTAGCGGAAATTTTGAGCAGTTTGGAGAACCGGCAAATACCACCTCTGGATGGCCCCAGAGTGGAGTGGGAATGGAGATTTTGCAATATCCTTACCCCCTGTAGTGGGGTGGGAATGGGGATTTTACAGTATCCTTCCCCCAGGAGTGGGGTGGGAATGGGGATTTTGAAATATCCTTCCCTTGCAGCGCCCACCAAGCCACGCCTACCAAGCCGGTAGTAAAAAAAATTGGATTTCACCACTGGACTACAGGCAATCCTCGACTTACAACAGTTCGTTTAATGACTGCTCAAAGTTACAATGGCACTGAAAAAAGGTGGCTTACAGCTGTTTTTGACAGGGGCGACCTTTCCAGCCAATCGTGTGATCGAAATTCAGATTGATTCATATTTATGAGAGCTGCAGTGTCCGAAGGTCACGTGATCCTCTTTTGCGAACTTCTCACGAGCAACATCGATGGGGAAGCCGGATTCACTTAAGAACTGGGTTATTAACTTACCAACTGCAGTGGTTCGCTTAACCACCGAGGCAAGACAGGTTGAAAAATGGAGCAAAATTCACTCAACAAATGTCTGTCTGATGGGAATTTTGGGCTCAATTGAGGTCGTAACTCGAGGACTAACTGTATTTGGAGTCTCACATCCAATGTGAATTTCCCAGGAGCTCAAAGGAGCTCCCTTCACTTGATCCCCACAACCAGAATTTGGTGGGGAAAGCTGGTCTTTCTTTCTTTCTTTCTTTCTTTCTTTCTTTCTTTCTTTCTTTCTTTTCTTTCTTTCTTTCTCTTTCTTTCTTTCTTTCTTTCTTTCTTTTTTCTTTCTCTTTCTGCCCCCCCTCCCTCTTTCTCTCTCCTCTTTCATTTTCTTTCTTTCTTTCTCTTCCCCTTTCCCCCCCCTTTCCTTTCTTTCTTTCTCTTTCTGCCCCTCCCCCTCTTTCCTTCCTTCTTCCTTCCTTCCCTCTTTCCTTCTTCCTTCTCTTTCCCTTTTCTTTCCCTTCCTTCTTTCTCTTTCTTCTCTTTCTTTCTTTTCTTCTTTCTTTTCTTTTCCTTCCTTCTTTCTCTTTCTTTCTTTCTTTTCTTTCTTTCTTTCTTTCTTTCTTTCTTTCTTTTCTTTCCCCCTTTCTCTTCCTTCCTTCTTTTTCTCTCTCTCCCCGTCCTCCTTTCCTTTCCTTTCCTTTCCTTTCCTTTCCTTTCCTTTTTTCCTTTCCTTTCCTTTCCTTTCCTTTTTTTTTTCCTTTCCTTTCCTTTCCTTTCCTTTCCTTTCCCTTTCCTCCTTCTCTCTCTCTCCCTCCCTTCCTTCCTTTTTCTTTTCTTTTCTTTTTTCTTCTTTAAATTTTTACAAATTGCTGACTCACAGGATAGGAAGAAGGAGAGCCACAGGCTGAAAGAACTGCCAACATTTTGAGTCGCTGTCCAACAACTGCCTTTCTCGTGGTGACAGGGAATTTTTCAGTATTTCTTTTTTTGTAGTGCCCACCTGGTCTTCTTTTGCTGGCTTTCCCCCAGCCACCACATCGAATTCAGTCTCCTTCTGTTCCCCTTTTTGAGTAATAGGCAGTCCTCAACATACGACTGCCCCCAATTTCCATTGCTAAGCAAGACTGAGTGTGATTTGCCCCATTTTATGACGTTTTTTTGCCACAGTTGCTAAATTAATAATCCAGTTGTTAAGGGAATCCGGCTCCCCCATTGATTTCGCTCGTCAGAAAGTCACAAAAGGGATATCACGTGACTCCGGGACAACAGCAACGGTCATAAATATGAGTCAGTGGCCCAGCATCCGAATTTTGATCATGTGACCATAGGGATGCTGCAACGCTCGTAAACATGAAAAACGGTTATGCATCATTTTTTTCAGAGCCACTGTAACTTTGGGCGGTCACTAAATGAATGGTTGTAAGCCAAGGACTACCTGTATTGTAGCGGCACCCCAACAGAGTCCTGAAGCCCATCCCATAATTTGTACCAGCGGTGGGTTTCCAATATTCTTACCACCGGTTTGTCGCGCACGCTCGCTTCGCATGCGCTCTCATGCGCCTTCCGTGCACACACCCGGCCTTCCACGCACGCGCTTTGCTCGCTCGTGCGCCTTCCGTGCATGCACCCGGCTTCAAAAACATGCCTAAATAGGACGGCATAGAGCCGGGGCAGGTGGGCGGGCCCAACCAGAATCGCCGCTACCAGTTCGCCTGAACTGGTACGAACCGGCTGAATACCACCTCTGCTTTGTACCCTATCATTTATTGGATGGGAAAAGGACAGCAAACATGTGATAAGCACCTGATCATATACCTTGAAATGTGTTCCCCATGACATTTCAGTGGGGAGTTAACGGAATAAATGTAAGTCACGGATCACTGTAATTTGATGTTCCTTAAAATATATTGGAGCAAAAGAGCCAGGCTTTTTACCCTGTCATCCATAACGTTTTGACATTCGCTTCCTACAACCAAAGAGTTGTAGAATGAGACTAAAGAGCCTAGCTAAATAGAATAGAATAGAATAACAGAGCTGGAAGGGACCTTAGAGGTCTTCTAGTCCAACCCCTGCTCAGGCAGGAAACCCTATTTGGAACGACTTGCCTCCGGATGTTGTAAGTGTTCCAAAACTGGAGGTTTTCAAAAAGAGACTGGACACAGCCATTTGTCTGAAATGGTATAGGGCCGTGATGGCGAACCTATGGCACGCGTGCTACAGGTGGCACACGGAGCCATCTCTGTGGGCACGCGAGCCGTCGCCCTAGGTCAGCTCCACCGTGCATGCGCGTGAACCTCCCGCCGGCCAGCTGATTTTTGGGTCTCTGCCGCGCATGTGGGAGACGCACATGCATCCATGGGTGGGGAGTCATGCGTGCATGTGGCACTCCCCCTCCCGCCCCGTTTTTGGTTCCAGGAGGCTTCAGGGAGGCCTGGTAGGCCCAAAATGGAGTGTGTGGGGGGGTCGCACGCACATGCACAGGGGCGCGCGGGGGGATTGCATTATGGGTGTGGGCATGCAGTCACACACACACATGTGGCACCTGAGGGAAAAAAGGTTAGCTATCACTGGTGTAGGGTCTTGTGCTTGGGCAGGCGGGTTAACTTTGTTAATCTGTTAACCCTCAGAAGTGACTGTCTGGATAGCTGAATTGGATAGCCACTGCCGTATCTGCATATAGGTTTTATATACAATTACTTGGACTGTGTATATATGTCAGGGGTGGTATTCCATTCGCTACCAGTTTGCAAATGTTCGCTACCAGTTAGCAAATATGAGTGCGCGCGTGAATGCGCAGAACATCAAAATCGGGAAGCGATGACGTCCAGGTGGATGGACGGAGTCTCCCGCCGCCGCCACTACCAGTTCGGACGAAGCGGATAGAGCTGGCTGAATACCACCACTGATATATGTTTGTTTCCGCCACATTCTCATCTTCCCTAAATAATAATAAATAGAAACTCTGCCCTTCCAATAGGCCTGAAAGGACAAAAACAGACAGGTGATTTTTGCATCCCGGTAAATATTTTCTGTCGGATGTCCCTGGCTCACCTCTGATGTTTCGAAAACAATTATACTAGCTTCGTTTAAACCAAGGAGGTCGCATGTCATTCCGGAACGACCGAAGTTCCAGCAATCAACAAAAATTCATTCCAGGTGGAATGAATTCCACTATTTCCCCCGCCAGGTCAGAACAAAACGTAATTACATGCGTGGGCTTACAGCCTCTGTTAAGTGGCAACTTTTAATGATCAAAACAGCCTCTGATTGTGCACCGGGGGTACCGTTGTCTGCCAACTTAATGCATTTCCATAATTAAAGCTCCTGGAAGAGACTAATTGCTTGGCCAAAAAAAATAAAATAAAAAAAAATGACATCGTCTTTCTAAATGTGGATTGTCGTTTCTAGACAAACTGTTTGGGTATTTTTTTCCTTCCCCATCCTTCCTGCTGATGGAAAGAGACAGCAAGCGAACTTGTGGCGTTCGGGAAAGTCTGCTCGCATCCAGACCAGAGGTGGGTTTCACATAATTTTACCACCGGTATGCCGCGCACCGAAAATGTGAGTGTGCGCAGCCTTCCGCACGTCTGTTTTGCTCGCATGCGCAACTTGCATGTATCTGCACGGCTTAGCAAATGTGGCTTAATAGGACAGCATAGCGCCGGGGCGGATGGACGAGCTCACTCGCAGGTTGCCACTTCCGGTTTGCTCGAACCGGTCTGAACCGGCTGAATACCACCACTGATCCGGGCTAGATGTAACAAAAACTAGACATAAGTTACCTCCTCAAGGTTAACTTAGCACGGTTTTATGACCCACGTCAAACACTACATCCCTGAAAGTTTTGCTCTCCTGCCATGATGAGATGGAAAACGCATTAATGTTACTGTCTTGGATAGGAAGACAATGCAGGGAGTGGTGAGGACAGCAGAAAAGATTATTGGTAGTTCACTTCCTTCTATCCAGCGTGGCTTCGGCCCGGTCTACCCAATGTGAAGAGGAAACATTGGGCCAGCGTGGCTTCAGCCCAGTGTATCCAATGTGAAGAGGAAACATGCCAGTTTGGGGAGTGGCGTCAAGCTGGCCACACCCACTCAGTTGGCCACGCCCACCCAGTCAGCCACTCCCAGTGAGTGACATTAAG